TATATAATTTTAATGTGCATTTCTTGCATTATGGGCTTTCCTTGTGGCTTAACTGGTAAAGAATCCACTTGCAATGTGGAAGACCTGGGTTTGATCCCTGGGAAGATCCCTTGGGAAGATTCCTTGGAGAAGGGAAAGGCCACCCACTCCAGTATTCTCGCCTGGAGAATTCCATGGACTGTATATTCCATGGGGTCCCAAAGAGTCAGACACGCCTGAGCTACTTTCACTTTCTTGCATTATGTTTTTTTGCTAATGATATTACTTGATGTTTATTTTATATTTATTTTAGACTATGGAGATGATGTTAGACAAAAAGTAAATTTGAGCAATCTTTTTATTCAAGTTCAAAATAGGTCATAAAGCAGCGGATACAACTTGCAACATCAACAATGCATTTGGCCCAGCAACTGCTAACAAGCGTATAGTGCAGTGATGGTTCCAGAAGTCTTGCCAAGGAGATGAGAGCCTTGAAGATGAGGAGTGCAGTGGTGAGCCATGGGAAGTTGACAATGACCAATTAATTGAGCAGATCATTCAAACTGATCCTCTTGCAACTACATGAAATGTTGTCAAAGAACTCAACATTGACCATTCCATGGTTGTTCGGCATTTGAAGTAAACTGGAAAGGTGAAAAAGCTTGATAAGTGGGTGTCTCACGAGCTGACTGCAAATCAAAAATAATCATTTTGAAGTGTCATCTTCTCTTATTCTATGCAACAACAACAAACCATTTCATAATCAGATTGTGATGTGTGACAAAAAGTGTATATTATACAACTGGTGACCACCAGCTTAGTGGCTGGACCAAGAAGAAGCTCCAAAGCACTGTCCCAAGCCAAACTTGCACCAAAAAAGGTCAAGGGCACTGGTGGTCTACTACACATCTGATCCTCTGCAGCTTTCTGAATCCTGGTGAAACCATTACATCTGAGAAGCATGTTCAGCAAATTGAAAAGATGCACCAAAACCTGCAGTGCTTGCAGCCAGCACTGGTCAACAGAAAGAGCCCTGTTCTTTTCCACGACAATGACTAACCGCATGTCGTACAACCAATGCTTCAAAAGCTGAACGAATTGGGTGATGAACTTTTGCCTCATCTGCCATTTTCACCTGACTTCTTGTCAACTGACTTCAAGCATCTCAGCAACTTTTTGCAGGGAAAACGCTTCCACAACCAGCAGGAGGCAGAAAATGCTTTCCAAGAGTTCATGGAATCCTGAAACATGAACTTTTTACGCTACGGGAATAAAATAACTTATTTCTCGTTGGCAAAAATGTGTTGATTGTAATCATTCCTATTTTGATTAATAAAGATGTGTTTGAGCCTAGTTATAATGACTTAAAATTCACGGTCTGAAACCCCAATTACTTTTTCATCAACCTAATATTTGTCCTTATAAATGAATGAAGTACCGATACATGCCACATAGATGAATCCTGAAAACATTCTGCCAAGTGAAAGAAGCCACACACAAAGGACCACATATTGTATGATTCCATTTATTTGAAATTTCCAGAATAATCAATATTATAGGTACAGAAAGTGGATTAGTGGTTGCCAGGTCTTGGGAGCATGGGAGTTTAGGCATATGACTGCTAAAGGGTATGTGGTTTCTTTTTAGAGGGATTAAAATGCTCCAAAATTAATGTGGTAATAGTTGCACAACTCTGTGAATATACCTAAAAAACACTGAACTATACACTCTTAAGTGGGTGGATTGTATGGTGCGTGAATGATACTTTAAGAAATCTGTTCCCCCACCAAAAATCCATGCTCTTCAAATACCTTATATCCCTAATTTGGCATTTATTATACAGTATATTGTTTAACAGTTTTTTTTCCTGATGAAATGTTGCTTCACATCACCAAAATAGTGGCAATGATTTCTGAATTGTAGGGTTTCTTCCAGATTAGTTTTCTTCATTATATTTTTCAGATTTTTTTTTCCAACTGGCACATATTACTTTTATATATGAAAAATAGACTATACAGAAATGAAATCCCTTTGTGGATTCATTTGATGCTAGTACAATCTCTTACACATAGTAGGTGTTTAGCAATGACTTGTAAGTACTATTGATAATGGAACTAGGTTTGAATCCTATTATGGTTTTAAGTCCTTAAAGTCCTTTGGTAACTTACCTGACTTTGTTATTGGTAATAGAGTTTGGGAAAAACAAATGTTACTTTGTGATTATAAACCTTAAAAGACTTAAAAAGTATTTTCACTGAAAGAAAAAAAAAATGCTTTAGTCTGAGTACCAAGTTTGATAGCAGATACTTCAGAGATATGGTGGATTTACTCCTAATGCTTGTTGTCCATGGATTCAGCTACGTCATTTGGGTCAAGGGGCTTTCCCAACGCCTGGTCACTCCATGCAGTGGCATCTGCCTAAAGTGGCATTTCATATCAGTGTGCTGGGTCATTTTCTCAATCACTGGCATTTTGTATCAGTGTGCTGGGTCATTTTCTCAATCACTGGCATTTTGTATCAGTGCGCTGGGTCATTTTCTCAGTCATTCACTTCACCATGTTTCTTTGTGGAGACAAGGTCACCTTCTGACCGTATTTCACTAACCCTCTTCCTCTGCTTGCTGTCTTCACTCTTTTTTGTAATTTCTCCTCCCTCCCGTTCTTTCTGGTCGGCTGGTTTGTGCTGAGTCCTAATTATACGCCGGGCACGGTTTTGGTTCTTTCACATTCAGAACTTCTGTTTGCTCCTCACAATGATTTGCTGAAATGTTGCCATGTCAACCTCATCTGCGATGAGGAAACTGAGGTACGTATTGTCAGCAGTGGAGTCCGGACTGGGACTGGTAAGGCTGCTTGGTGTGCAGTTAAGAGCAGGTCTGGCGCCAGGCTGTCTGGGCTTGAATCAGGGCTTCACTGCTCACCAGCTGTGTGACACCCATCTCTGTCCCCTGGTTTTTTCCTAGGAATGGTAATAGTCTATCTCACAGGGTTGGAATAGGGAATGAATTAGTCAATTATTTGTAATGCACTTAAAACAGTGCCTGGCACAATTCAAGCACCACATAAGTGTTCTAAAAGTAAATAAACCGAAGCCTGTCTGACTCCAAAGCCAGTAAGAGTAGAATTTCAGGCCTGCTTTTTTGTTCCATCCCCCTGTTACAGCAGCAGAATTGGACAAAGATGAAACTTGGACTCTGAACAGGGAGGACACTTCGCTGCGGAGACACCCATGGACTTCTTGCTCTGTCCACCGTGGTCTGACACCCTGCTTCTCACCCGTCTCTCCCATGCTGTTTTTTCTGCCTGAGTCTTTCCTCAACACACTCCAGTCACACTGGTCTTCTGTGTGCCTATGACCTCCACCAAACTTATTTCTAGCTGAAGGCCTCTGCACCTATCTGGACCTGTTTCTCCAGGTTTTTGCATGGCTAACATCTTTCTCATTCATGTCACCTCATCATGTCATCTTGACAGAAAAACCTTCCTTGGTTGTCAGTCAGGTTCTCATGCAAAACAGAAGGCATGCTCAAATAAAGGTGGCTGAGAAGAGTTTATTGAGACCACTAGGGACTTCCCTGGTGGTCCAGTGGCTAAGACTTTGTGCTCCAAATGCAAGGGGCCAGGGTTCCATCCCTGGTCAGGGAACTAGATCCAATATAGTGCAACTAAAGAGCTCACATGACCCCAGCGAAGAAGATCGAAGATAAATAAAATAATATAAAATAAATAAAATAAGATAAATAAAAGAGCCGATTATCAGGGAGTGGGCAGGCCAGACACCAGAATGAGATGGGGAAGTGGGCCTGGGGAAGTGGGGTGCAACAAGAGGAGACGGACCGTCAGAGAACCCGAGGAGGGGCCCCAGCCTTGCAGCCTTCCTCAGAGTGGAGCGGAGCAGCCAGTCCCCTAGCCTTCTGCAGTAAGAGGTACCTAAAACATCCCCACGGCCCTCTCCTCCAGCCTGCAGACCTCCTGCCCTCCCTCCCATTAGCAGGGCCTGGACCCACAGGTCAGCCTCCCGGGTGAAGGTGGAGAGGCAATCTGCAGTTAGCAATACCCTCTTCCCAGGTCATAGTTGATCTTCTCCTCTTTTATCTGTTTAGCATGTATCACTCTCCACCATTATCTTCTTTTTTTATCCCATTTCCTCTAGAATGTAATTATTTTGAGCGCCAAGACTTCCCAGTTCTTCCTCTTCCCACCTAGCCCCTCTCTTCCCTTCTCTTTTTTCATCCTTGTGGTCCCAACACACAGTAGGTGCACAATAAAGATGAGTTAAATCAATCAGCACAGGTAGTTTGCCTGGAGAGACAAAGGTTTATAAAGGATCGTTTGTCTTCTTTTTTTTTTTTTTTGTCTTCTTCATCTTACAGAAAGATCAGGGGACTGAACATCCCTGCCGCGGGGTCAGCGGGCAGCCCCTCTTCCCCCCACTTCCGTAGCCGGGGTTGGCGCGGGGTGCGGCAGGTGCGGGCGGCCACTGCCCGGCTGCGGCAGCGCGGGCTCCCCGGGGACGCGTGCGCCGCGCTGGCCGCGCGTCTCCCAGGTGCCGCCCGACCTGCCGGCCCCTCCGCAGCCGGCGGGGCGCGGGGCCGTGCGGGGCGGCTGGCCGAATCCCTCTCCGGATCGCGTTGCGGGCAGGGGAGGGAGGCACTCGGTGCTCACTCTCGGTTATTTTTAGTCGGTGGCTGACACCCCCGCCCGGGAGGGGCTGGTGCGGCGCCCGCAGAGGAGGTGGGGCGGGGTGGGGCGGAGAGGGAGCTCCCGGCGCCGGGGCGCTCGCTCCCGCGGGGACACACAGCGCGGCCGGGCCGGGCGGCGCGGGGAACAGCTGCGGCGGCGTGGTCGGCGGCAGCGCGGCGCTCCTCCGGGACCTGCGCCGCGCGGGGGCGGGGCGGCCGGGGAGGAGAGCGGGCGGGCGGGCGGGAAGGGGCGGGGAGCGCGCTCCTGCGGCGGCGGCGGCGGCGGCGGCCGTCCTCATCCCGGCGGCCCGGCGCTCGAGTGGACGCGGGGCTTCGCAAATGGCTTGTCCCGTTCTCGGTCTGGAAGCTCTCCAGCCCCTGCAGCCCGAGCCGCCCCCCGAGCCCGCCTTCTCCGAGGCGCAGAAGTGGATCGAGGTAGGTACCCCGCGGCGGGCGGGCGGGCGGGCGGGCGGCCTGGCCGGGGCAGCGCGGAGCCGCCGATCCGCACACACCGGAACGACAGGTCGGGTCTCGCCTCCCCCACTCCCCCACCCCACCCCCACTTTCTTTTGCCGGCTGCTCCGCATCAGCCAGCAGGGCCTCGAGCGAGCGGCGACCCCCGGGCGCTTTGCGCTGGAGTCTCGGGCGAGGGTGGGCGCGCAGGGAGGACACTGCGGTCTAGCTGTGCGTGTCGGGGGCGGGAAGCGGTGCCCTGCGCTTCCATCCCTCCTGCCCGCCAGTCGCGCAAATCTCAGCTCCTGCCGCTTCCAGGCGCTGCCCGGGGAAGCGCAGTGCTAGCAGAAGCGCCGCAGAGGCGCATCAAGCGGGAGCCCCCGGAGTCCTTGGGGACGCCGCAGGTCGGCGGTCCTGCTCCCTGTCCTACCTCCGCCCCGAGCCCCCCTCCCCGTCCTTCGGAGCGGAGTTGTTAATGTCTCACGGAATCGCATGCCCACCGGAGCCTCTGGCTGTGTTCCTGGCACCGGGTCAGGTGTGAGGCTGGCACAGCACACAGGGCCCGGAGCCTGCAAGACCCACCTGCGAATGCACCATCCGCATAGATGTGGCCCATCCATTGGCAGGCCCCTCTCCGTCCCGGAGGTGCCGGTTCCCGGCCCCGTTGGCGTATTTCACTTCTTAAATGGCTCGGTGGCAGGCCAGGGAAATCACTGGAGCTCTCGGCTGGCTGAGTCCAGGAAGCGCTTGCTGGGCGATCCTGATTCTCGATGTCTATCTGTAGACGCAGCTTGGTGGCCCCGCGCTCCTGAAATGCCGTGTCTGCGGGGCTTAGGACGCTTGGAGGACGCGAGGGGGTAAAGGTGACCCCCTATGATCCATGCAGTGAGCCTCTGTTTCGGCAGGCCGCCTTTCTTGAAGCTTAGTGAGAGACTGATTTGACCCTGTCTTCCTCAGGGACGGGCAGCTCACCCTCCCTGGTAGTTCAAAGAAAGAAATGTACCGCTAAGTCATGATTCCGTAATGGTGAAGCCTGTTATTACTCAGACGGTCGCCCCGGTGGCACCGCGCATCTCGATGCTGTTGGAACAAATTGAAATCTGCTGAACTGCCTGGGAAAACCGCTTGATGCTGCTGTAACGCTCCAGCCAGAGGCCTGCACCTTACCAGGTTAAGCTGGTTCAAGCAAGCAAGAATGTTAGGCAGAGTTTAGAAAGATTTATTTAAAAATAGGGTTAAAACAAACAAAAACAGAAGAATCAACTCAAAGCTCTGTTGCTCTAAGCCCCAAGCATGTCTCTCATAATTTGATGGCTCATGCCCAGATGAGAAAAAGACTGTGACTTTTGTCTGTGATGTGTGGCTGGCACGGCTTGGCCTGTGACAGGTGCTTTCTCTGTGCTGCATCCTTGGGTTCATAGGACATCCAGGAAGCATTTGTAGTCACTGGCTTGGTTGAGAGTTGGAGAATTGTGTTTTTCTTGTTGTTGAACTTTAAAATTCTCAGGAGAGGTTTTTGATGTGGATGGTGATGAAGGGAGGGGTAAGAGCAGAACACTTTACAGTTCTTGAAGGCAAGTGGTTTATTCCCAGTTTCCTTAATTGTAACACGGACATACTGTACTTGAAAACAAATGTATTTTGGTATAGTTACACACAGGAGAGTGTATGCTTCTTCAGTGCACACCTCCGTGAATTGTGACCTAGGTATATAGTAGTACTATGCTGCTGTTTAGTCACTCAGTCATGCCCATCTCTCTGCAACCCCATGGACTGTAGCCCGCCAGGTTCCTCTGTCCATGGGATTTCCCAGAGAAGAATCCTGGAGTGGGTTGTCCTTTCCTTCTCCAGGGAATCTTCCTGACCCAGGGATCGAACCTGCGCTGCATCTGCAGGTGGATTCTTTACCACCAAGCCCCCAGGAAAGCCCACATAGTACTGTAGCTCCTCACCTAGGTCATGATCTAAAACATTTTCCGTCCAGGTCAGTCTGTTTTTAAGTGGTGGTATATTTCAAACTAAATATTATGCGGTGCAGAATATCTGCTTTGTCCTGGTTCCATAGATTTTTTTAAAAAAGAAGGGCTTCCTTAAGAAAGCTGAGCCCCATTCGGCCCTATAGACAGTTGGGCATTGTTCTTGGTGCTTCACCAGATCTACCAGCTCAAGAATGTGAAAGCCGCAGTGGGCAGTGCGTGGCTTTAGGATGAAGCGGCCGTGGCTCTGTGCCTGTGCATTATTGAAGCGGCCTATCTCCTTTCAATCGTGGAGTTGGGTTTCAAGGAAAGGAGAGCTTCCCCTCCCAGGCTGTATAAAAAGGTGTTTGCTCCAGAGAGGTAGAGACCGCCTTTCTTCCTTCCTGGAGGTTCCTCTTGAAATGTAAATGCCCTGTCTGCAAAGCGAGGGGAACCCAGCGGCAGTAACTGATGGTTCTGCGCCCAGTTGCCCAGTGAACAAAGATTCCTCAGCTAATATAGCAATAATGTAGTACTTAGTGTGAGATGAATTCCCAGGGGGACTGTTATCTTGAGACAATTGCATCTCCTTTAGGGGCCCCATTGTCTCTGGCAACATCCTCATTGGTAGGGCTTTGTTTTTCGCTTCTGTTCAGCTGGTGATTAAATTTCCCACAGGCTTTTTTTTTTTTTCCTTTTGAGTAGTCAGGAATTTCACCCTTTCAAAAAAATGTTCCCTTGGGTGTAGCAGGTTAATAAACAAACTTTGCAGCTTGTCTCTTCTCTTCAGTCTCTGGTCTTCCTTAAGTCAAGCATTGGCTTGAAAACTGTTCATTCTTAATAAAGGCTCAGGGAACAAACTCCAGGAGATAACTTGTTAGTGAGGAATTTCTCGGCCTGCAGCCTTGGCTATTTGAGGGCTGTGTTACTGGGCAGGAAACGGTGGCCTGGGAACCATGCCCCAGCCTCACCCCACCCCTAGCCTCTGCCTTGGCTGGCAAAGGTGAAGGCCTCGATGGAGGTCATTGGCGTAGGATGGGGGTGGGGTGGAGGGAAGTGGGAATAGTTCCCTAACACTTCGAGTGACTTTTTATAGCTGTCGGAGCAGGCTACGTGTCTTAATGTGGCATTGGGGAGACTCCAGAGGAAACAGCAAACTTCAGGCTTGAACTCTGGCTACCAGCAGGCAGAGGTCTAAATTCCTTTTCTAGCAGATCTTCCTAAGCAAAGTGGCAGCAAGTGCAGCACAGTGGTTAGAGGTCAGGCTATGGGGCTGGGCAGCCTCGGTTAGCATCCTAGGTGTATTGCCTTCTAGCTGTGTGACACTGGACAAGGCTGTGCTTCCTCTCCTTTTGGTTCTAAATCGTTTCTCTGAAAGCTAGCTCTGGAAAAGTAACAGAGATATTGTCGAAAGCTGTTGTAAAACAGGGGTACTAATAATAGATTACCTATCTGAAAGGTGTGCTGTGAGAATGAAATAAGTTAATAACATTTAAGATGCTTAGACTAGTACCTGGCTTTTAGGAAGTGCTGCATAAGTAAAAGTTGTTATTATTATTGCCATGACATCACTACTGCTACTAATATCACTACTATCATTACTATAAGAATACTACTACCATCACCACTGCTATCTTTATTAATGCTACTGTTATTGCTATCATTATTGTTCGTATTGTTAACAACAGCTGCAGTTGAGTTTGAAAGAAAATCTTTAGAACCCTGAGTTTTTAGTGTAAAAAATAGAATTCAGTTATCTACCCATCTCATTCTATTGTCTTACCTTATGAACGCCAGATACCTGGTCTCAAAGTTAGGTAGGTGCTGTGTGTTATTCTAACTTGTGTTAAGTGAGATTGAGGCTTCAGAGGAGAACCAGTAACATCTACTGATAAGATGACCCTGATAGTCCAATGAGGCTTAGAAAATTATTCCTCAATATTATGTCGACTATTTAAGTTTAATGCCTTTAAAGTCTTTGTTATTAGACTCCAAGCAGAATGCTCAGTTCTCCTCCTCTTGAAGACAATCCAACATTAAATTGTTATACAAATGGTAGTTGTCTGAATAGTCATCTCCAGTATAGCAGTGTTTTGTTCATTGAAGTTGTGTCAACGCCCTCTAGAAAAAGAATAAGTCCCCCATTTATTTTCCTTCCTGCTTCCTCGCTTCTTTTTCCTCTTTCTCCCTCTGCCCCCCACCCCCAACGCCCTTGATGGTATTTGTTAAGTTACAGGGCTTTGTTAGCAGGTCAATTATTTGGATTTTCTTAGTTCCCCTCCTGACCTTTGCCTCTCAGCCCACAACAATATTTATCTGTTCTAATCTGCAGTTATTCTCTACAATGCCAAATACTTACTGAAGAAACAGATGTCACTTCAGCTTGGGTTCAGTTGTGATCTGGAACAAGTTGCCAGGCCTTTAAGGAGGGGTTGGAAATTTCAACCCAACTCAGCCTTACTTCTCAACTTGAGATGTTTCTGGACTCCTTTAACTTTAATCATGACATGCCTGTGGGGCTTGGTGCTGAATATAATCTCATTTGTGACCTAATCCATATTTCACGTAAGTTGGAACTAGGGCTGGAAGGGATCAGTTCTTCATTCTGGGTCATTTCGCCCCCTGCTCACACAGAATTGTTTTCTGATTCAACTGGGACCTCATTTTGAAGATTCAAAGCACTGAGGGTACCTTAGCTCTCCAAGACTGAAAACTGTTGTGTTGTTTGGCAGTGGGAGAATTTATGTGTAGCCTTTGAGAGGATGTAGCATTTGGTGGCCAGCAGCATGACATTGGCGATGTAATGACCAGCGACCATATGTCATAAGTTACACAGTCATTCTAATTCTCCTTCTCTGTTGGGACTTGAAGACTCTTCCATCCTTTTACTACAACAAAGAATTAACATTGCATACGGTTCTCTCCTTGGCACGGAGAGCCACGGAAGAGGAAGAAAAACTTTTCTGGCTAGATCAGGAGTAGAGTAGTGGTCTGAATAGATATGGAAATGAGAGCAGGCAGCATCAT